TGACTGAGGGAGGTTGCCGCTTTTCAATAACGTGTTCAAGGGGGTGGACAGAGGCTGTGGGCCTCATCCCTTCCAGGAAAATAAAGGAGATTGGAGACAGAATCACAGAAACAGCAGTGACACAGTCAACCGGGTACCAGTGTGCCAAACTCGGGATGACAGAGTTGCGTTTGCATCCCCGTTCAATCAGGGGGACCTCTGTACATCCGGCCCCAAAGGCTGGCCATGTACAGTTTCTATCTGGAGTCACAAACACACACAAACCCAGGCATAGAACAAGCATGTGGCAGCCACATTACTCACACATTCACACATTCACATAGGCAGGGCATTCCAACAGGAAGGCATACAAAACTTTCCCCAGGGAAACAGTGTCAACTGACCAACTTAAAAATCCTAAAGTAAAAGTTCCAGTCTAAAGTAGTGTAGGAAAGCACAATAAAGACTGTTCGTAGCCACGGTGTCAGCCCTGTAAGTCAGAAAGAGAACAACCATACAACACACAAGACAACAAACAGCTCTCCTAGCACCTGGGAGACACCACCCAAAGGGTCCTGAGATGTCTCCCAGGTACCCCACCTGAGGTCCTCCTGTGTGCCCGCTTAGACCGTCTACAGGATAATAAACTTTGGGCTCACTTACAAAAGCATATCCAAACCAGAAAGACATGAAACGAAAGTAAACATAGAAAACATGAAAGCAAACACAGACACAGAACACTAACCAGCTGGCTGAAGGCTCTATGGGCCATGGTCCTGGTTGGCTTGGGGGTCCCAGATGAGCCCCCAAATGTTATGCCCAGATCGTGGGGACCCCCAAAAGACCACCAGAGAGACCAAATCCTGTATGTAAAAGCAAAGAGCCTTTACTTCAATCTCGAGTGTGGGCTCTCCATCTGTCCGATGCAGTGGTGAGAGCAGAGAGCCCTGAGCCTGGGCGGGGTAGAGTTTTTATCATAGCAGAGGTTGGGGTATCTTGGTAAAAGGGGGTGTATTCTAGGCTCAGGGTTGGATGTTTGGAATGTCAGGTACTTCCCCTCAGATGCTGGCCCTTCCTGGGTGGGGTCAGCTTATGGTTTTTCCTGGGGACCAGAGGTACCTGCCAGTAAGCCTGTCATGACAGGTGTGTCTGGGCCCCTAAGCCTGTCAGGCAGCTGTGTGGCCAAGCTGTTTTGGGTCCCCCACAGACACAGCTGCCACTTTGCATCTGCAGTAGGAAGCAGGGAGAGATGGTGCGTTTTCTTCTGTTTATTCAGGTGGGGACCACAGCCCATGGAAGATGTCAGCCTGGCTGAGGGGCGGGCATCTTCCTGCCTCAGTGAGTCTGACCTAGATGACACCTCACAGACCTGCCCAGGTGTTTCTGGATCCTGTTCAGTTGTCAAAATCAACATTACCGATGGCAAGGTCATAAGGTGCTGTGTGGCCTCTGACTTGAGCTATGTCCTCTTAGGTAGATGCTGGAAGACTTTATGGCCAACATGTCAAACCAGTTCTTGCCTTTCAGTTTTATGTCCTTGTCACTTGTATATGGTCACAGATGTACAGAAGAAATTGACACAACGCAGGACACGGTCGGCAGTCTTATTAGTGAAACACAGGATCAAAAATTTCACTAAAATCTTAGTTTGTAAATATGACTTTAAAAATTCACCTTATGGCTTCTGCTAATGAGCAAGAGAAGTAGAAGGCACCGATTTCATCTGTCTTAGTTAGGGTTTCCATCGCTGTGAGGAGACAGCAGCTCTCACCAAGGAAAGCATTTCCCTGGGGCTGGCTTACAGTTTCAGAGGCTTAGTCTTTATTGTCACGGCAGGAAGCATGGGGGCATGCAGGCAGACGCGGTGCTGGAGAAGAAGCAGAGGGTTCCACATCCTGATCTGAAGGCAGCAGAAAGAGAGACACTGGGCCTGGCTTGAGCATTTGAAACCCCAAAGCCCACCCCCAGTGGCACACTTCCTCCAACATGGCCACACTTCCCAATCCCTGTCAAGCAGCACCACTCCCTAATGACCCAGCCTTCAAATACATGCGCCTATGGGGGCCATTTGAGGCCCAACCACTGCACTAAAGTGGACACTCCTCTTCAGCCTGGCAGACGATCATAGGATGAACTCATTGAAGTCATCGGATGAACAGCTGACATAAAGGCTGGGGTGGGGAAGAGGAGGAAGTCAGAAAACAGAAATGCTCTGACAAGTCTTTCGTATGGACTTGTGTTATTCACATGCAGTTCATAAAAGACTTGGCAACTGTAAAAGGTTTCTGAACATGCAACAAACAAAACTTAATTCGAAATCAAACACATAATTAACCCGAGGTATTTCTGGCAACGTTTGCCTGTTTCATAGGATGACATCACTTCAGTCTCGTTTCTGAACAAAATATGTGCACTTTGCACGGGACATGCCTTCACACCATGCACAGGCAGTGACTGCAGCCTGTGATGGCCAGGTCAGACTGAGCCCATTCCATACGGTGGCTTGCAGTGTGAGCAAGTTTACTGTCCACACGGTTTTCTGCTCCTGCAGAAACATAATGGTTTAATTACAGAAAACAAAGACTTCCTCCGTTTCCTTACTGTCATGTTTCAGAATGTAAGTGTCAAATCTGGCTATCGGGGATTGTATTTTATCAGAATGTTTGATTGTAAGAATTGAGTTTGAGTCATCGTATTGAGTTTCATAAAAAATCAATCAATGCATTGTGGTTTGAGATTGGAACAGTATTTTCAGCAATTTCTGCAACTGCCCTAAAATATTTCTGCTGCTTTTTATTACATATTTATATGAAGTACCATTCTCAGCACTGATGATGATTAAATCAAAGTATTCATTAACCCTCAAAAACATTGAAGATGCTCTAATCCTGCAGGATTAAATATTCAGCTGAGATCTGACTCTTTCTGTAAAATAAACAAGCACCATCTCATTAATATGTAAATTTGCTTTCAACTTTAATGAATGGAGAAATTGTATTAATTACATGTATACTAGCTAATTGTTTTGAAATAAATTTTTTATGATTTCTTGCCAGTAAATGATTTCCTCACCTATCTATTATTCTTATATATATCCTGGGTCACGTAAGCATTCCTCAGGGCAAAAAGGTCAAGGAAGAACCTTCAGCCCTGTATGGAGAGGTTAAGGGCATGTGTGGTTCTAGCAAAGGACCCACATTCAGTTCCCAGTCCCCAGGTCGGGCAGCTCACAAGCCCCTGTAACTCAGCTCTAGAGGATCAAACGCCCTCTTCTGGCCTCCACAGGCACCTGCACTTACATTCACACACCTGCACACTGACACATGCATACACATAATTTAAAAGTAAAGTAAGCTTTTTTTTTTTTTTTAAAGAAGCCCTGTACTAGAACAGAAAGCCAGGAGCACACATGGCCACAGGAGCCAATGGCAGGTCAGAGAGATCTAAGCTGTGATGGATGAATTCCTAGGGACTCCGTGTAGACAGCTGGAGAGTTAAAATACCAGCATGCTACAATCACAAGAAGGAATGTCCGATGTTTTTTCATGAGGAAAATGCAAATCAAAAGCACACGGAGCGCCTGTCTCACCCATCAAAATGGGTGTCATCAAGGAAACAAGCAACAACAAGGCTGGGAAGGATGCCCAGGGCAGTGGGGGTCAGGACAGACCAGAGAGGAGGCCGTGAAAGACAGCAATGGGTGAATACAGTGGAAGTATATCACACGCACATGCACAGCTATCACACAGGAGCATATTGTTTCATACAGTCAACGTGGACTTAGAATAGAAATTTCAGTGCCAGACTGGAGGAGCTAGGTGTAAGACAAAGTGCTAAACGGTCTTATTAATAAAAAACCCAGAACCAGATAATGGGGTTAAGACTGAGAGACCAGAAAAGCAGAAAGAAGCCAGCCATGTCCTCATCACTTGGAGCTCCTCAGCCAAAGGGACCTGCTTCCTGTATACCCACGCCTATATGCCTTTCTGTTCTACCATCTCATTTCCTTTCTCCACCCAGATACATCACTTCCTCTTCCTGTCCAGCTCTGTCACTTCCTGTCTATCTGTACAGACCTCCAGACCTTTATGGTTAACTAGTATTGGAATTCAAGGCATGTGCCACCAAGGTCTGTTCCCAGTGTGGCCTTGAACTCACAGAGATCCAGACGATCTCTGCTTTCCAAGTGATAGGATTAAAGGCATGTACTATAGTGGCTGGCTTTTTCCTCTGATCCTCAGATAAACTTTATTGGGGTACACAGATAAAATATCACCACAGTAGGGGGCAGCCTTAAGGGACATCCATGTCCTCATAAATTCTTCCTCCAAGAGATATATCAAGTTCTCACAGTAAAGATTAGAAGAAAAAGAAATCCCATTTTGCTTCTGACGGTGGAAGGAGGGATGTATTCATTTTGCAATAGCCCAGAGCACTGTTCTCTTTAATCAAAGTGACTTCTACCAGATCCCAACTGACTTGTAGAAAGATAAACACCAAAATCTAGTCCCTCCTTGCCTTCCTGCTTCAGCTGAGAGGGAAGAAAAACTTGAGAAGTATTTGTGAAATTCACAGTTCAAGGGCATGTGCTCCCTTACACAGTGAGATTGCATCACAAGGCTCTAGAATGCTTCTCTTCACATCTTACTGGTTCCTCAGTAAATCTCCTCTGAATAATGAGAAATTTCACCTGAACTGTTTTTCTCAGGTCCAAATTATGAAAATGTCAAACAAGAGGAGAAACAATAACAAGTTCTCCTGGGATGTTTTGGCCCTTGGTGTCTCCAACAAAGCGAAGCATCTAACTCCGCCACACATAAGCAGATAGCTGTGCACTGCTTACTGGAGCCCTTACTTTGCCTTTTAGTTGGCACACTGTGGCCTGTTTTCAACAGAAAACAACAAGGCACACTAAAAACCAATCCATTTAAAGAGAGCATCAGCCCAGACAGAGATGACAGAGAATTTGGAATGATGACTCTCAGGCATGTCAATCAATTATGGTTGTGTTGCAGGTCCTCAAGGAAAAAGTGAGCAACATGCATCACAGGAAAATGTAAGCAGAAGATAGAAGTTAAAAAAAAGAAATCAAAAGAAAACCTTACAATCAAAACCACCAAACAAAAACACTGAGTTTTTGAGAGGCTTTGCAATGGACTACACATAGTTGAAGAAACAATCAGTAATCTGGAAAGTATGTCAATGGAAATTTCCCGGAGAATAACATGAAAAGAAAAATCTACAAACTATACGGACTGTGTAAGAACTGTGGGTGAAGTGGCGATATTGTCAGGTGCCTTACAAAAGCAGAGTCAGGCATACCGACGTTTTTGCTTTGCTTGATTAGACCTTTCTGTCTTTGATTCATTTTGTCTGATTTGTTTAGCCTTTTGTTTTTCAAGAATTTGTGTGATCTTATTTCAGACATATTTATTGTGGTGCTGCTGATCCTCTTGTAGATGATAAAGAGCCTGCATAGGGCTTTGCTCAATAACAGAGTGAACAATCAAAGGCCATGGGAAGCCAGAGTCTGTGAACTCAACCCCAGTCCATTCTTCCACACAACCATAGCAAAGGTAGGTGACATTGAAATTTGGATGACCTGTATGTATGTGCCAGGTGGGTTTTGTTTGTTTTTTGTTTTAATCTTTTACATGCACGTGAGTCTCAGTCTGAAAATATCATTGCCACAAATAACGCTTTTTCCAACTTGATAAACTCAGTCAAAGAAATATTTTGGATCCTTTATTGTACTAAAGCCACAAATGATTATCACACAGTCAGATTAAGGTAACCACTCTAACCCTCGTCCAGCCCCAAATTCTAAGTGTTCTCTGTGAACTTCTCTACAGTTGGAATGGTCATTCTGAAGCTATGGAGCTTCACTTAAGGTTTTAAACTTTTGCAATTGATTATGTTTTTGTGGACTTATCTACCACAAGGGAAAGAAAGGAAGGATTAATGGCACATCCTGGGGATGTGTATCGTGACATGAAAACTGACAGCACTGAGGCAAGACCACAGACCTCCTTACCACTCGCCCCATCAGGTCCTCTGAGCTGCTGCAATAGAAACCCTACAGACCGAGTGGACCAAACAGCAGAAACTTACTTCTCCAAGTCTAGATGTTACAAAGTCCAAGGTACCAGCAGATTCAGTCCCCGCTGAGGATGCTCTTCCTGGTCTGCAGATGGATGCCTTCCTTCTGCAGATGCTCCCATAGAGGACAGAGAGACATTCACCAGGGCTCCGACCTTATGACCCAGTTCCTTCTGATATTATCACACTGATAATTTGGGCTTCAATACATCAGTCAGGATAGGGGATCATCACACCCCCTGTGCCGGGGCAAGCCCACCGTGAGTCCTGAGTGCCCCTGAGCATCATTGCTGGATGTGCTGTAGACCCTGACCTCTGTTCACTCAGTGGCATCTTATTGTCCTTTTGGCCCTAAGAAGACTGAAAGGATGGGATGGCTCATCCTCCCAGACACACACACACACACACACACACACACACACACACACACACACACACACACACACA